GCGGGCCAGCTCACATTTACAAATTTTGTTAAGTTTAGATTTTGAAGTGAGGATTCAGGAATATGGATAGGATCATTAAAACACTATATAATTGCTTTTATTTAAACATTTATTTAATTTAATGTACTTATAAAACTAAAATTATTATTTTTTACCCAAAATTTGCCAGTGCTTTCCTCCTACTAGTTTTCATTTACCTCTTATGTTGTGACCAGAAAATATAACAAAGTAACTAATAAAAATCACAAATGTTGGTCAGCTGACAAACGTGATGCACAATTGTAATGGCTTCTCTTTAAAAATATTAACCAGCGCAGCCGCTAGGTCTGATTCATAACAGCACAACCCAGAGTGCTCTTTCTAACCTTTTCGCTATTGGGATCTGTTTACATGATGTGACACTGAGAGTGGCAGACATATAGCTTCCAAACGTCGCCAGAACGTTTGTACACATCCACAGGCCCCCAGGAAAGGCACGGGGCCACGTGTGTACTTGTCTCCAGTAGTTAAAGGGTTAACGAGGAAATTGTGTGTGCGGTATTGCCTCGATCTCACCAAAGCGCTATTTTCTTCATAACAATTTTTTTCTATTTTCATTTTAATTCAGAGCATCGCGGGCCACAAAAAAATTACCTCGGGTGCCACATGTGACCCACAGTCCACCAGTTTGACACCCCTGCTCTAGATAAATGTCTTGTTAATGATCTTTAGCTTTTCCCAGTCAATGCTGGCTCACAGCACTCCCTCCTGAATCCTGACACCTGCACTGTTCACAGCATTCGAAAGCCCAGGTGTTTCCCCTGGGAGCTTCTGCTGGTTTCAGAATTCCTGCCATGCAAATCGTAGCCCAACTCGTAACCACTACACCACCAGGGCTCCGGTAAAAATAATTAATTAACCCAAACCAAAAAGACAGATGTCTTTCCTTTCTTTCCCTTTGATCCAGTTTTGCTAGGAAGAACTAAACCAACATATGAGTTCTGTGGGAGTTCTTGCTAGCGAGAGAAAGCAAGTATTAAAATGAATTAGTTGAAACATATTGTGTTACATCTTGGATTTGTATAATCCCTGGATGCCAGTTTGTTCTGTTTGCTTCCACAGCCTTCAAAATAATTAGCCTGATGGTATTCTTCTGGGAAGAGGCTAAACTACCCTCAAACGTAAGGACGAATTAGCCAAACAATATTTAGCTCTGTAATTTGTTATATCTCAGCTCTCATTCTTTCAGGGGACGTCTTGGATTCCAAATAAATAGGTCCAGGGGAAGTGTATCTTTTTCATTTAGAAAATGTCAAGTGTTGTAAGAGTTTAAAAAGAGGTGAACGTGTGGTCACTTCAAATTGAGATTGTGGATTTGATGAAAATTTTCAAAATAGATGTTTGTTTTTATTACTCAGCTATCAAACAATTAGCTGGAAATACATTTCTCAACTAGGTTTACATACTTTAATGATACACTTAAGCGATGATTGGTGCTTTCCGATTTCATGAAACCTTGGGCTTCAAATATGCACTAGGAACATGGAGAGCAGTGTCTACTTTTTTTTAACTTTCTTTTTTTTAGATCATTTTATTAGGGGCTCATACAACTCTTATCACAATCCATACACACAACAATTGTGTAAAGCGCATTTTTACATTCATTGCCCTCATCATTCTCAAAACATTTCCTCTCCACTTAAACCTCCAGCATTAGGTCCTCATTTTTCCCCTCCCTCCCTGCTCCCCCCT